GAATTAAAGGTGTGACTGCACTCTTATTTGAAATGCAAATTTTTTTATATTTTTTTTAAATAAGAGCCTGGGTCCAAAAACCTTTTAGAGTTCTCTGTAGGTTTCTCATGCATTACTTGTGGCAAAGGACATATTTAATTACTCTTTCTGTCAATCAGAGCGGTCCCCGAGCAGTCACTTCCTCCTGCCTGCTCACATCAACAGCGGGAGACGAGACCGCCCTCCGAGGCTGTCAAGACCCAGAGGACCTGCGGGATTCCCGTGATTAAGCGGCTCTCTGCTCTCCTTCTGAGGGTAATGGAGGCTAAAATGAAAAGCCTACTTTGGGTTCCTTTTTACAGGCAATCAAACACGATTCAGGCTCCATGCATGATATTGGGGCGAAGCATTTACCTGCCACAGAGTGCACTGTTGTCTAACCGGGACAGAGCTCGTTAGTACTTTTTGGTTGTTTGGCGGTGATCTGTGGGCTGTTCTTGTGTGTGTGCAGTCGTATTCCAGATATTGACTATCTGTGCTGCTCAATCAAAGAAACACAGAGCACAAAGAAGGAGCCTGCAATGCTTTTCTAACAGCTGTGTGATGTGTGAGTCTTCCTGTCTTCTGCTTTCTGCCTCCTTTGTGCTGAGACGGGAGGGAGATCTGAAACACACCCAGGCTGCACACAAACTTAAGGTCCAAAGGATTCTGGGTTCGGCTCAATGTGGAATAGGGATGTTCCTGGCGACTAATTTCAAAACGAAAATATAAATTTAGACTAGTCGACTAGTCTAAAAGTAGGAAAGCCGCACACACAGCCTGGCTTAACAGCTGCTTTATAATGTGATCGATTAATTCAATTCAATTCAATTTTATTTGTATAGCGCCAATTCATAACAGAAGTTATCTCAGGACACTTTTCAAATAGAGCAGGTCTAGACCGAACTCTTTATAACATTATTTACAGAGACCCAACAGTACCACCATGAGCAAGACCTTGGAGACAAGGGCAAGGAAAAACTGCCTGTTAAAAGGCAGAAACCTAGGACAGATCCTCCGGCTCTAGGTGGGTGGTCGTCTGTCTCGACCAGTTGGGGTGAGAGAGAGAGAGAGAGAGAGAGAGAGAGAGAGAGAGAGAGAGAGAGAGAGAGAGAGAGAGACAGACAGACAGGTGCACAGCAACAACAGTATTGGCAATGGCAATCTAGCAGGACTTGCCATGTCATCCTAACCTTCCATACTCGGGATATTTTCTGTTCAACTCCAGCTCCACCATCCTCTGTCCCTGAATAATCTCTAGCTGAGGAGCTGTGTGAGGTTGGATGGTACAGAGTGAAACCAGCTGCTAGAGTCCCAAAGCAGGAACCAAACGTTGGACTAGAACTTCTAAAGTGGGACAAAGAGGACTCTTAAAACCAGCGGGGGCATTAGTGCAGGGACAGGGCATTAGTGCAGGGACGGGGCATTAGTGCAGGGACGGGGGGCTGCTGCCTGCTGGGGCTGAATGGAAAGACGCAATTAATCAGCGTTGTTGCTACTAAAATATAATTATTATAATATAACATATAATTTGTTTAACTGACTGGTATTTCTTGTGTCGACTAGCAAGATTAGCAACGTTTAACCAACTAACATCCCTAATGTGGAAACAGGAAGCTGAAGCAGTGACGGACTGGGAATGAAATCAATAATTCTAACAATTCATGTAAAGTTCACTGTAGCACGTCAACCTTTAATGTCCGCCCCATCCAGGCTGTGATTGATCAGTTGATGTAAGCTTACATTAACCCTTGGGGCCCGTCAAAGTCCGTCCACTAACAGTAGTTGTTGTTTGTTCCACTAACAGTAGTTGTTGTTTGTTCCACTAACAGTAGTAGTAGTTTGTTCCACTAACAGTAGTAGTTGTTGTTTGTTCCACTAACAGTAGTTGTTGTTTGTTCCACTAACAGTAGTTGTTGTTTGTTCCACTAGCAGTAGTAGTAGTTTGTTCCACTAACAGTAGTTGTTTGTTCCACTAACAGTAGTCGTTGTTTGTTCCACTAACAGTAGTCGTTGTTTGTTCCACTAACAGTAGTTGTTGTTTGTTCCACTAACAGTAGTTGTTGTTTGTTCCACTAACAGTAGTAGTTTGTTCCACTAACAGTAGTTGTTGTTTGTTCCACTAACAGTAGTTGTTGTTTGTTCCACTAACAGTAGTTGTTGTTTGTTCCACTGACAGACTCAGGTTGTTATTGTCAGTGTCTGACAGCATTATTGAAAGGATCCCTACAGAGATAGACCTTTAGTTTAACCACAAACAGCCGTAATATCACTATCACTCTCCACCAGACTCCAGAGACAAAAACACAGATTTTACCTTCAGAAAGTTAGATGTGAAATTATTTGCAATGGCCGCAACGTAAGGTAATGATAATCCTTAATAAAACTCTGACCAACCAAACCAACAAAGGCAACAAACACTAGCCAATCACAGGCAGTTTAGGGCGCCCTTCAAGGGAATGTCGGTGGGGAAAAAGCTTTATGCTGGTGTTTAGGGGTGCGTACGTAGACTCACAGCTGGCTCAACCTAACAATAAACTCTGTGAGGGGACTGATGCTGTGAGTGTTGGGTGGGAATCACCTTACAGAAGCTCAGCCTCATCCAGGCATCACTTCACTCGCTCTCAGTGTTTGTTGTCTGCAGCCAAAAGCAGCTTGCAAAGCAGAGGAGGTTGTTGTTTACATGTGCTGGTGTTTACAAGTTTATCTCTGAGCATGTTGAAGCAGCATGAGGGACTGAGCCTAAACCCAAAGTCTGACAGAATACGTCAGAAACACACACTGAAGGTGGAAGACACAGAAAGTAACAATCTGTCTCCAAAACACTCGGATAACGTATCGTTAAACAATCAATCAGAAACAAGCATCAACCTTTGGTTTAGTTGGTAGATAAATTAGGTCGTATTTGATATATTTTACTTATATTAGTAATTAAAGATACCTTGAACTCTATCACATGTACGTACGTATTTTTGAGGTCCACTAACAGTTGTTGTTTGTTCCACTAACAGTAGTCGTTGTTTGTTCCACTAACAGTAGTTGTTGTTTGTTCCACTAACAGTAGTTGTTGTTTGTTCCACTAACAGTAGTCGTTGTTTGTTCCACTAACAGTAGTTGTTGTTTGTTCCACTAACAGTAGTTGTTGTTTGTTCCACTAACAGTAGTTGTTGTTTGTTCCACTAACAGTAGTTGTTTGTTCCACTAACAGTAGTTGTTGTTTGTTCCACTAACAGTAGTAGTAGTTTGTTCCACTAACAGTAGTTGTTGTTTGTTCCACTAACAGTAGTTGTTTGTTCCACTAACAGCAGTAGTTTCTGCCACTGACAGACTCAGGTTGTTATTGTCAGTGTCTGGTGGAGAGTGATAGTGATATTACGGCTGTGGTTAAACTAAAGGTCTATCTCTGTAGGGATCCTTTCCATAATGCTGTCAGACTCCAGAGACACAAACACTCATTTTACCTTCAGATCATCGAAACTTCATTCAAAGTGGACAGAAACAGAATAAAACCCATTAAAGCGTCTCTGTTAGTGTTTCCAACAATCACCAACTCTGGTTTGGTGGAAATAAATCCTTAATTCACCCACGTAGATGATAAAAACAGTTTCAGTCGCTCTAATCAGCTGCACACAGATCGGCTATGGAAACAAACAATATGCAGTTGACCTGCAGGGTTTTTAATGTCTGCTTAATAAACACCCAGACACACTTACACACTTCACACACCCACACACACACACACACACACACACTTTAAAGTACACAAAATAAATACATGAGCCGTAGGAATCACACAGTTTGACCCCGACACCCACACAGGCTTTTACATGCTGATGTATTTCTCAGAGTTTTGAAAGAAATCAATTAAAGTGATCTTTTGTGCTTCCATTACCGACAGAAACACTCGCCTGTTTTCTCTTCAGGTGCGAGAAATTCTCAGAAGAATTAGTGCACGCCGAGGGGGAGACGAGAGTCATTATTCACATTTAGCTCTCTAATTGCTGATGACACTCGCGCTTTAGAAAAAGACGGCGTCGTAACGGTTCTATAACCTCGGTGTTGACCATGAGACTGAAAGTGTTGCAAGTGTAGCAGCAGAGAAAGAGTTGAGTGAATGGAAGTGGTCCGATGTGAACCAGAGGCTGAATGAACCAGAGGCTGCTGGATCTCACAGAGGTCAGCCCCGTTACACTTCTACATTTCATCTGTCTGTCGGCTCTTCCCTGCTCAGTGTGAGAGATATCCTCCACAAGGTGTACAATTATTTCCATTATTGATTCATCTGCAGGTTATTTTATTACCATGGGACACTACAGGTGAATCATTTCACTAATAGATATCAGCATGAATGTTCCGCAGTTGATTACTTGTGTTAAGACAATTATTTCTTGTAGTACAAGTTTTCTAAAAGTTTATGTTTAAATATGTAAATGAGGATTATCTAACTGAAAATACAGATTAGTAGATAACAGAGTGTGATCCTGAGGTTTCCTGCCGTTAATTACGGGGTTCGTATTCGACACGTTCCTCTCTGCGTCTACACTAACCCTCGTGTAAACGTCCTCCCCCCTCTGCCCCCTTTAGAAACCTTCCCTTCCTGCCTCCATCACCGTGTTCAACCTGTATTTATCCAAATCAACCAATCATGCGTGTGCTTTTTCCGGCACTGCTCCTTTCTCAAGGGCACCTCGACTGTAGCCCCCAAGGGAGGGGGTGAGTGCTCGTTCACTTCCCTCCACTTCAGGCTTCTCTAACCTTTAAAGCCAGTAGTTATCAATCAAACATGCAATTTTGACCCAAGAGTGTGCTAGATTTCTTTCCAATTAAACACTCCAGCGGCTGATTTCACTGATTAGTTCCTCCTCCCGCTTGATAATAATCAGTGAAACAAGCTGCATCAAGCTGAAAAGTCTTCTGGAGTTGTGTGTGAGAAAACCCCCCCGGTGTGATCACACCTGATTGGCTCCTGAAGGCCAACTCACCTGCAGAGAGCGTCGGAGCGACAGGTGCGTCTCAGCTCCAGGCAGGTGGGCTTGTGCCTCTCCTGGTGGGAGCAGGAGGGGACGATGGTGCGGCGGCGGCGCTCGGCGCACGCCTGGTCCGGGCACGAGCAGAAGAGCAGAGGGTAGCTCAGCTCCCACGGGACCCGCTCGAAGAACTGACGCAGAGCCTGAGACACACAGTTCATTATCATCCATCGCCTTTATGTTTCTGCACAGTTTCAAAAAACTTTTCACAAGGAAATACCAGGAAGTTAAAAAGTTAAAAATAAAATCACAAAGTAATAAATCATAGCTATCAACATGAAACAAGGTCACTCCCACTTCCTCCACTCAGCTATACGGCGTGCTGCAAAGTCCATTTTTATCTGATTATTTCTAGAATAAATCCTCTCCAGTCAGCAGTGAGTGAAATCTTAATATCATAATATAGGATTTTAAAGTGTACATGTTGACCACCGTGTTTCTACAGTAGCCTACAATGGACAAACACTGGATCTAGACAGGGGACTTTGCAGCCACTGTTTGTGAGGCTGAGCTGTATTCAGTTGGTTGCAATCTGCAAATTCACCACTAGACGCCACTAAATCCAACAAACTGGACCTTTAATGTCAAAGATAATGTAAAAATTCTATTCAGCTTCACCTTATCCTCATCCTGTTTGCTTTTGGCTTTGATTTAATATTTCTATTTATAATATTAGTAGTCATTTTATTGCCACATAATTAATCTATACTCAGTAGAAATACCTATTATTAGTTGTAAATTGATTAAAATAAACTTTAAATCTGAGGTAAAAAAACAAACAAGAGGAGCTGGTTTGTGTCTTATTAGATATAAAAAGATAAAATGTATTAAAATCCTCAAAAAACTGCTGAAACAGAAAAGATTATTATCGTATAAATCCGAATTATTTTGGGACAGTTTGGTATCACTCTGAGCATTAAAGTAATTACATTTAAGATCACAAAGATTTACTAAAGACGAAAGAAGTTTTTTGAAGCATTTTCTGAGTGATTCTGTTCCTCAGCAGGTCCGAGTCGGTTCAATATGACTGAATCAGCTAATCACACACTTATTGGATTTATGTAATCCCTTTACAGCTGTAATCTGCCAGAGAAGGAAACATGTTTCGCTCCAACAAATGTGCTAAAAAAAACATTAAAATCAACTTCCATTATTAAAAGGCCCTCACATGTAACCTCTGAAGTACATTCACACACAGGTCGAGTTATAATCCTTTTAGTGTTTAACATTAAATATAAAAGCCCCTCTGTGATCCTCACACACACCTTCTGACACCTCTTCCGGCTGCATGGCTCCTGATTGGCCAGGGAGGGCTGAGGGGGCGTGGCCTTGCTGCAGATGGAGTTGTAGGCGGATCGCAGGCGCTTACACGTCTCGTTGAGGTTGCACGCCTTCGCTGCATCCAGACAGGGGTTACAGGGTTTCCCCGCTTCAGAGCAGGGGCTCATCTTCAACAAAGACGAATCTGAACAGAAAGACACGGAAATATAAAAGATTAAACCAAACTGACGCAAAGATTATTTTAACGTCTGGGTTGAATATAAAAATCCAGCTGTGTAGTGGCACTTTTTTACTTTCAGATATTAAAATGTATTAATGATAAATACTCTGTATCTGCTGATTTGGATTAAGAAGAGACTAAAAGGTCCACAAAGAAACAAGACACAACGACAAAGAGATTACAGTCACCTTATAACCCGCCTGCACATCTACTCTGTTTCTTTCCTTTAACACAACCCAGAGCTCAGTGTTCCAGTCTGTTACCCTCAGAGTCTGTTATTATACAGTAGCCTGTACTACAGCACAGTAATGAGTCCTGTCAGAATACATTAATAATCTGATTACATCCACAGTGCAGTCTTTATATAAATGTAGAAGCATAAATCAGGATGTGACTCCACTGTTAAACAGATATCACACAGACCCGGCGGACCAGCTGATCCTGAGTCAGAGAGACATGTGATAGTAGTGTTTACTGATAACGGGACGATAAAATCTAAAGTGGAGTTTAAGTGGGTCGTAATAAATGGACAGCGAGCAGATTACAGAGTGAGAGAGGTCTCATTGGTTGAAAGACCTCACAGGGACAGATGGTCTTCTTCATGAGCTTCCTGTGACTGTGGAGATATCTGAAACCTGGTCCAGGGTCACGGGGGGCCGATCCCACTGACACTGTGCAGCTCAGACCTCCTTAAACTACTTCAACAACGACTATAACAGTCAGCATATACAGGACAGTGTGTGCAAACCTGAAATTGTGTTCACTTTGAATCAGTAAATAGATTTTGTGTCGCCTCTGTAAAGGGCAGAGCATTGCATTGTGGGACTGTATAGCCAATAAATGTACACACTCAGGATTCAGACATTCAAATGAAACTGTAAATATTGTAGTAAATACACTCTTACACACACACACACACACACACACACACACACACACACACACATAATGCTTGTAATGCTACTTAGCAAATGTTAGCATGCTGATGTTAGCATTTAGCTAAGCCTCACTGAGCTGAACTGTTAGCATCACTGTGGACGCTTGTAGTCACAAAAGGCTCCACTCGTGTAAACACTTCCTGGCTGCAGCTGATTGGACGAACGTTCCTGTTCAACATGGCGGCTCGTTTGGACACTTTGTCTCAAATTCTGGAAATATTTCACTAAAATGTGTTTCTGGAAACATTTGAAGCGAATAATAAACCACTCAGTTGTTGAATATTCATTTTAGATCGACAGCAAATGTCCTGAGGATACGCACCATTTATCTGGTTTAATATTTAACCAAAACCACAATAAAAGCCTAAAAACACAGCTGTCTTCTGCCTTGCCCAAACATCACCCCCCCATCCTCCCCCCACAGTTCCTGATTGGAAAAAAAACTCAGGAAGCAATTAAATTTCCTCCAAAACATATTTGGCAAAGCAAATTACTTCTGCATGAAGATATTTTGCAGGAGATGGAGTCGCCCTGTGGCAGAGCACTACAGATTTTGGCACCAACCTGGAAGTGAGACGTGTTAGAGCTGGAAATGATCCCGATGCTGCCAGCAAATATTAACATTTTACATGCGAACATACCAACAGTAGTGAATACCAGAGACCGACTGCAGTCTGCAGCCTCGTCAGCAGTGACAGAGGAGCACCTCTCCGTGCTGAGATGATGTCTGACACCTTCACAGACGGGTCAGAAAGGAAGGAGACTGTCACACTGAGAACTGATCACATGTGTGAATGTCAAGTGTGAACACACATATGTGGACACCACTAAATTGCAATCCAACACATCCAATTACACAAGTCTAATGGAAAAGACAACTGTAACCTCGACCTCAGAAAGCCCTTTAAAGTGTGACGTGATGACATGAGTCGGAGCTGCAGCCGCGTCCAGAATTATTAACGTTAACGTGTTTTTATCAGTGTAATAAGAAGAAAATGTCTTCTGATAGAGGGAAGAGAAATTCAGTGTTTACTATTAACTGTGCTCCGTTAGAACAGAACAGATTGGATTCAGTTTATTAACTAACAGATAAAATGTTAAACACAGTGATGCTACGGTTTTTGAACATCTTTGGAAAGAGGAAGGGAACAAGATAGCAGATCTTGGTCCTGGATGGTTATGTGATGTAACCGAGGACAGATTGCCAAAGTGGGCAACTAGGCCCCTAGGAGCCCCAAATGACACCAGGGGTTACTGGGTGGTTAACTACAAATTTGGTTATGAATTTGCACCACCAAAGTAAAGTTGGTCATGTGTGGTTGTTGTTATTATTATTATTATTATTATTATTATTATTATTATTATTATGTTATTAGTTGATACTGTATCTTGTAGAGTTTGGGATTAAATTGCTTTTATAATAATTGAACAAAATCTCCCAAAAATCAAACTAAGATTTCTGTTTTTGTGACTGTCATTTATATTCTGTCCGGAGTGAATCTCTTGACTTTTTTCTTTCATCTTTAGCCAAAGTCAAAAATGCTGTCGCTAATCTGATACAGTAACGTTACCTTCATGTTCAACCTTAAGTGGTCACATTTCTGTATAGTGTTTTTCGCTGTCATTTTGAGGATCACTTCAGTGTCTAAACTGATGAAGAATACTCTTGTTCTATGAGGAGGGCGGCCAGCTCTAAGGAGTTTGGCTCCCTAAAAATTTGTGATTACTGAGCAAAAAGAGCTGTTGGCTAAGCTGTGAATCCTACACTGAGGGATTAGCTACAGTATTTACACAAAGTAGTTAATAGTATTTACTATTCATTTAGTTAGCTAGTCACTCAGTCATTACAAATGATCACAAACGTGGAATGAGATTTTTGCCTGTAATTCCCCTTCTGCAGTATCTTTGCCTCCTTTAACTCTCCAGCGCCCCCCTCAGGAGGCTTTTGTCTTTGTCAGAATAATGGGTTATATTACTGAGGAGCAGGGTGAACATTTAAAACCACACCTCCATCTGTAATGTTGATCCTGTCACAACGAGGGTCAGGTATAAACTTTCTCTGTCAGAATGAATCTGCTTTTTATTACTATTTGATGTTAGTTTTCTCTCTCTAAAAAGATTGTGTGACACTTAATCTGCTGATTTAAATTGTGAGTGACTGAAATGTGCCATCAGATAGCCGCAGAGGTCAGATAAAGCACTCTATGTTACTAGAGTGAATTGAACTGAGAGAGGTGACAGAAAGGCCGTCCCTGTGAGCCATCATCACCTCCGTCTGTGATGTCAAAAATAATGAAATATGAATATGGTCACAATTAACATCTGCGTGTTTGTCAGCAGCATCAGTGTGTTCGCTCTTCACACTGTGAAGCTTCCCCTGCAGATAACCGCAGTGCTCGTCTGACTGAACGCAACTGACTACGTAGGTACGAGTTTACGAGATGGGAAGTACTGTAGAGTATTTTATTATCTGACAAAGTCTCCTCCGGTGGAACATATTTTTCTTCACATTCAAACATCTACTGGCAGTTTACACACACACACACACACACACACACACACACACACACACACACACACACAGACACACACACACAGCAGCCCTGAGCTGTATAGATAAACAGTAGTGTGTTTCCAGGAAAGGCTGATTTCGTATTGAAGAGTTGCTGCTGAATGAAACCGAATACTGTACATTCCCCTGGAGACTGAATGTAAAAATGGTTGACACTCTTTCGCCTTTTTCTTCTCTCACTTGAGTCAGTACCGTTCTGTTGAGTCTGCATGAAGACGTTCAACAAATCGTCTTTTATTATCAATGTTTCAAAATGCTGTTCGAACAAACTAAACTCATGTTTTTTTATTTTTTGTGCCAATTTTTGGCACATTTATGGTTGCCAGATTATCCTACTGACTTTTGTGATCCCTGATTGTTCTTCTAACGCCAGGGCAGGAATTGCACCACGGCCAAACAGCCAGCGCCGTAATGCCTCTTCTCAAATAAACACTCACAGTGCCAGTTTGGCATTGCCCTGTTTTGAACTGGCCGTAAAATAAAAGTTTCCTCATTTAACCAGATGTGCCGCAGCAAATAAACCGTACCTGTCGCTGGTGTTAAGCCGGGGTGCCAGTAAGACTCACTTATAATACAACCAGCAAACCCTACAAAGGAGTTGGTACAACCGCTGACACTCAAATACAGCAGGCAAGAAACACAACAGAGTAAATTCATTAATCCCCACTGTGTGTTACACAATCAGTGTAAAACATACAAAACCCACAGTCATATTATAATAAAGGAGTACTTGTCTGCGGGCACCCAGGAACAACCAAAAAATGCTCTATTGGAAAAACGAATCAGAGTGAGCCGCTTACTGATTTATTTCTACAAGTAAAGAATGTGGAATCGTGCTTCCTGGTTAAGTTATAACAAAAGTTCTCCCAAATATGTTTCGGAGCTAGAAGCCGCGGGTCAAACGTGATCAATCTGGTCGTGAAGAGAAAACGTGATGCAGCTAACTAGCTAACGCACCACACACTAAGGTTACCAACAAGAAGAACACACTATAAGTAAACTACAGGGGTCAAAGTCAGTGTCGACCCATTATCATCACCTAGCACTATGAAGCCTTCTAAGAGGATTTAACTTTAGGACACAACTGAGTGTTTGAGCCCAGGGAGGTGATTGGTCCACGGACTATCAGTATCTGCTGGTGCTCCTTCCTGATGCCACTATATATGGAGCCAAGATGGCGGCGGTGCTGCGTGAGGCGGTTTATGGTGTTCTTGCTGCTTCTGCTTTCTCCTGTTTATTCAGGCAGGTCAGTTATTGTCATTTGGTTTCATTGGTTTTTTTAGGTATTTGTTTTAACTTTCTATTAGATTTGTTTTTTGTTATTTGACCTCTGCCCACCCTAAAGTCAATTCTCAGTTCCATCTATTTTAAAGCACAGTGTAAACAAACACTGCAGTTCTTAAATCTCAGCAGTCGGTCTCTGTGGCTGCTTGGGACTTGTAAAAGAGTATTGC